CATTGATTTGATGCCAACAAGATCATGAACATAAATCGAAGTACTTTTACTTTGAGGTATTGCCTTTTAAGGAAGTATATTACTGATCTAAAAATAATCATGACCAAATTTTTCATCGTTTCTAGTCCTTATAAGTGAACGAGTGACCATTAATATGCGCTCTTTCAAATGATTCGGGGGCATAACTTAATCCTGCATCCGCATAAAAGGATATTTTTATTGTTGTAAAAAAACAAATATAACAACAAACTTCCAATGACAAATATGCTTATAGAGCCATATTTTAATAGTGTTTTATTTTTATCATTTTTGACTTTATCGTCAAACGTTACACACTTCCATCATAGGTAATGTCTCAGTTCTTAACTGAACATTAGCAAATTTTCAGGCAGTCAGCGTTAAGTTGTTAAGCACCAGTTTATCTAACCATTATCACTCTTTTAGGAGTTGTTGTAGGCGACAAAATATTCCGTTTGTAAAGGTGAACTTTTGAGTATTTTGTAAATATCGTATACCATAATCACTAGATCTATATTTATCAATACACTATTATTTATTTTCTTTACCTCATCATATGCAGTCATATTCACAGATAGTTGACGGGGGAAACAAATGCAAATAAGACATCAGCAAACGTAGTACAGTTGATAATGTAAATTTTACATATGCCATCATCTATAAATTCCTACTTGCTCTTAAATAAATTTACAATGGATGGGTGTTGCTTTATTTACCCTTTTTACGAGACCCGGCAATACATCATTACTACATCCAGGATTGGAAAAGTTATGAAGGTGACCTTTTTATGAATTCGGACATGGTGAAAAGCGGGGGCGGATCTAGAGGAACATTTTTTTGTGTGTGGGGGGGAGGAATGCTTGGATTTTTTACGAAATAATTTTATTGAAAATGTTAATATAAACGGCAATTTTAGACATTTAAATTATTTCGATGTTTATCCATTTTCAAAAACCTACCAACAATGTTCCGATACAACTTCAATGTCATAATTTATACGTTAAGAAAAGCTAAACCGTCGAGTATTCAAAGGCTAAGGTGGAACTGCTTGCAAAGATCTTTGCTGCCAACTCGTCCATGGACGTCCCCTCCCTCAATGCCCGAGTCCCGTCGATTCTACTATGCGAAAGTAACATTTACGACCTCCTTTTCTGTACGATCAATCCACTCCACAGCTTTGCTGATGACAGCACTCTACATGCAGGAATTCATAGCCGATCTCTGCCGGTGTGCTACAAAAAAGACCAGCAACGACTTTTTCTCTGAGGCGGGCCGTCGGCGATCTAGATCCCTCCTACCGCTACACCAGTGGGCTTTGCTCCTCAGAGCTCTCCTCCATGATACAGACCTGCCTTACTTCGGCCTCCCATACTAACCGTATTCAACTGCGTACGTTCAGAACTGCCGATACGACCGCTCATTTGTCGTTAATGTGTCGAAATTGTAGAACAATCTACAAGTCTTTTCCCAGTTCTACTAACCTTACGCAGATCAAAAATCAGACTAACAGTTTCTTTAGGATCTTCATAGCAGTCGCGGTGCCCTGGCCTAGTATTGTTAAACCCAACATAATATTTATGCATAAACAAGATTTTGAAAAGTGGTCTGATAGCACCCTAGCAAATTATCTTCTGAACACACTGCCTAAATGACATTCAAAAATATTGAAAAATGAGACGCCATTTGTGAAGCAGCTGAACCATAAGTAGCTTGCAGCTCTCTACGTCGCAACCGCCTTAAAAGCAGCTGCTCGATTTGAATGCACTACATGATAGTTAATTCTGAGACTGATGTTTTGAATGAAATGTTAGTTCTCCATCTCAGCTGATAAAATACAAGGACGTAGGTGAAAATGAGTCATTCTGGCTAACTAAGTCATGTCGAAAAACGCGTCAAAGTCCATAATTAAGTCTCTTGGTTTTTCTTAATCTACTGCCCACCAGTTATCAAAATAGCATTTTGAAAATGCACTTGTCTAAAATACGCAGAATTTCCTGCGACTTTTGCTTTTTCCAGTGACTCTTTTTTTGGGGAACACTACCAGCACCTCCGCCCGGGCTGAAAAGTGCTAAAAATAGGTGAGTCAGTCAAATTTAAACGACCCTCCTAAAAAAATTATTGTTGTATAATTTTGGGAATTTTTAGCTGACAGACTTTATTGTATGCTTTTGTAAAATGTTCCGCTCCTACTAATTTTTTCAACGACACGGGTATTAAGTATCTTGAAAAGTGGCATTTCGTCGTTTTTTGACATTTTGTAGGTTTTTCTACAAGATGTTAACTTAGCACAAGTTGTTGTACACTTCTGAACTCGTTTTGTATCTGTACGTGTTACTACTCAAACGTCAGCGAACAGCGATCATAGCGAGCAAACGTGGAATTAACTATTTGCACACTAAAAACTACCTATAGTCAAATAACAGAGTTGATGACAGTAGCAGAAGTCATCGTGCGCCACTGCTTTGACGCTGTACCTTTTGATTACAGCGATGTTTACCGACATTCACTACTGTCATCAATTTTGGTATTTTACTATAGTCTACAAGATGACGTTTCCTCGGTTTTTTGACATTGTTTAGATAATATTGCTGCGGGTCAAGTTAGACAGCTGAAATTCAGGTTGATGAAATTGATGTATGAGTACTAAGTTTAAGCGTAAAAGTGGCAGATGAAAATTTCCATTTTCGAATATTTTTTAAAGTAGAATGAGGGGTCGTGTGATACCTGATGAGTTCTTTATAAACGCTATAATATAAAACCACCATCTGTCTTAATGGCGATTTGGCAGGCTATAAAATCTGAGCGTGATATCCAGTTATGTGTCTGACAAATTGATTCTACTTGGACAACATCCGTCGAACTCAAGGACACAGACACGGCGGTGAGTCGCTCACATCGTTATTTTATCAATGCGGTCAAAGCACATAGCAGGACGTGAGTTTATTTTATTTATAATTAAGAGAATTGTTGTAGATTTTCAGCGTCGTCCGTAACATTTTAGACTTACATAAGACAAGCCATTGTAGTCGGTTTGTTTTTAAACAAAATTATAGAGGTTTATGATAGCGTTCATTTAGTTTTTTATGTGACCATGTTATTTTATTTATTTCAGTAAAATTAAAGGTATAGTTTATGTGATATAAACAGCAACGTTAGTTTTAAGTTGCGAATAGATGACTGGTTTATTGAATTAGCCTTGTATGAAACATTAATCCTTGCAAGCTCATTCGGAAGTTTTATTAAGCTTGAATTAAATATACAGGGTGTTCCTTAATGATTTGCGAATATTTAAGGGTGTGAATCTACATGAAAAATTACTTTTAGTTTGCTTTATAAACTGTGATCCAAAAATCTTTCCTTCCAAAAAGTTTTAGGAAAAAAATGGAAATCAATTAATATTTTCAGAACCGCTTCAGTTATTTCACTGATATTTAGTACGTAGTGAAAGTGAATGAAGTTGCATATTTTTCAATGCAAAAATAATTTTTAGCTTTAACAGTGGCGTGCGTACGGGTATTGACTTAGAAGACTTAATTTATTAAAATTATTTTTGAATTCCCCGTTCATTTTAAAACAAATAATCTTTCTTGAGTTGTTTTCCTTCGATGCGCCATTTTTGGGTAAAAAATAACAACCGTTCTATTGTCCGAGAAAATTAATGTGATAAATATTCAGTTGCTCTGGAATATGTCACTGGCTTTTGACATGACAAGTCTCTGTTATTCAAATCTGTTCGCTGTGACATCTTTTTCATTATTTAGTTTTTACAATCTTGTTAATAATGGTGAATTATTCAAATGCAGAAATGGCGGAAATGCATTACGTATATGGCCTTGCCGAGGGTAATGGTGAGCAAGCCAGACGGATTTACCACCAGAGATATCCCGATCGTGCTTTGCCAGATAGTCGAACCTTTTCTAATATTCATCGTCTTGTTGAAACTGTTTCGGTCAGAAAAGGAAGATCTTGAAACTGTTAAATGTAATAGCTATGAACTTCAATCACGTTTTGTATCTTCAATGATCAATGCCATTAGTAAACTGACGACCAACTTGCATATTTAGAAAAAATGGTTACTTTATCAGTGGGCAGAAAGCTAATCATCTCTAAGAAGGAGGAATACGTGATAAGGAGTTACAGGGTTGGAGTAAGAGCATCTGTTTATTATGAAACATGGTAATGACCATGTAGCAAACATTGTGATGATATACAGGGTGACTTCGTAGTTGAGTCATTTATTTTAACAGTGAGTAGATCTGATCAAAAGAAATGTTTTTTTCCTTTAACATTTTTGTGGTAAAATTAAAGTAACAAATTTATAGCCCTTTAGAAGTTTGAGTACTGCCCTGTCTCAATAGTAATATTATGTGCTCGTGTTTGGCAACAACGGATATAATCCGCCTTATCGGTTCATCGCATCGGAAACAAAAAAGCGAAAGAATTTGAAACGCTTATCACGATGTTTTATTCATTTATTTTATTCAGTTGTATTTAGTCAATGTGTCAGTCAGTCAGTGGTGTTTGTTGCGTGGCTCAAATGAAATAAAAAATGGCACATGTTTACGAAAATGCTGAACTTGTGGACATGATTCTTATTTACGGGGGGGGAGTCTTTACAAAATGCTGCCGCGGCATCACGGATTTATGCGAATCGGTTTCCCAATCGAGTGCAACCAACCCCTCGTGCCTTTGTTAATGTAGTACAAAGGGCTCGTGAATCAGGTGACTTAAGACCTCACAGGAGAAAGCATGCCGGTGCTCCAAGACCGGACGATCAAATACAGGTCCGCACTGAAATACTTGTCGGGAGGATACTTTATAAAACAAGGTAACATTTTTTTTTTATTTTTACACATATATTTTGGTTTATCTTCCTTCTACAATCATTATCTGAAAATTAATGACTCAACTTCAAAGTCACCCTGTATATACTGATCACACAGTATCTATGATTTAATAAATAAATAACCTAATTTGTATTTGTTTCATATATTTTATTAATAAATAAAACAAAAATAAGACAATTTTATACAAAATAGAAAAACAGTTTCACAAAATCTAAATTTTACTCGATTAACTTTTTAGCCTTGAAATACTGCCGAAGGTAAAGTACTTGCCACGTCGCCAATCCAAGTAAACAGCACATTGAGAAAACTGAGAAGTATAGGACTCGACTGTTTGTAGACTCTGTAACATAAAGATAAAGATATGAGAGTAACTCACAAGTTAGTGATGGACCTAAAAATCCTCACAATTGTACACAAAATCGTGCTAGATATGCAAATTTTAAGGACAAACAGATTCTCAGAGGGGGACTGGGTTCTCCCTGGCCTCCCCTTGCGGGCGCCCATGCTTGGACTAAACAGATTGTAGAATTCAGTGTATAGCAAGATTTCTGATTGGAACATCAGAAATCTGAAAAGAACTGCTGGAAGGATGAAATTTTCTGATATGTGCCCATATGACGCACTGACAAAAATCCAACAATTTAAATACATCCATACCATTTGTATCTCTCATTTCTTCTTCTCTCTTCCTCATAATTGAGAAATCTTGCACTATAGCACTTGACAGATCTTCTAATCTTTTCAATTCCTTTTCTATGGGTTTGAGATGAGCTGCTTCACCATACTGTGAAAAATTAATAGTTAAGCAGCTAACAATAAGTTGCAAGATGAATGAGGAAATCATAAAATATCCGAGTCTTAAGAAAATCTACTGTCATTCAGGAATTGTATCTACATCTCTTTGAGAAACAATAAACTAAGTGTCCATCTTTTTAGTGAATATGTTTAAGGCAGGATGAGAAATGCCAATAGTATTAGAGGCTAAAAAAAGAGGAACCATCTAAAAATAAAATTGTAAATCCATATAATTCTGATCTATCTGAAATCTGAGGCAAACGTCACCATATTGTTATGCAATATGGTTTATACTATCAGTATTTAATTTTACTGGTCACATCAATAATAATTACTGATGTCCTGGCTACATGTCATTTCATGGTAAATACTAACAGGTCATAGTAAATAATGATTATGTGATATTCATCTCAGAAGCATCACATGTCTAAAACTAATAAGACATTCAGAAAATATATTTATAAGAACCATGGCATAACTAAAATTGACAAAGACAGATGAAGCCAGGAATTAATTTAAAATTAAGAAGGCTAAGCTTAATAATAAGAATTGGAATGACACTTATGGAGGGGACTTACAGCATCATAATTTTTTGTTTCAATACCATGCTTGGTAACTAGCTTCACCTCTTGTGTAATCCCCTTTTCATCTGAAAAAGTATGAATTCAGGAACACTACAAAATTGCAATGTAATGATAGATCAAAGTAAGAGCATAAAGTGCCACCTCTTACCAGAATCAAACACTGTGGAAGTGAAGACAGAAAGCTGTCTGTTGCAACTGTATCTCAATTGATATAATCAACTGGGTCACCACTGTGGCTTCTAGATGCTGCCAATTCTGGTGCTATAGTCATTGACAAACTAGTAATATACGAAAGCTATATTACTAGTTTGTACAATGGTAAGTAGATAATTGCAGTCCACATATTGCAAGTTCTCAACAGTAAATATGTCTTTTCTGATAAACAAGATTTTTTTTTATCATGGGAAGAGGCATTTGGTAATATTTAAGGTAAGGTACAATAAAAAACGAATAATTTTATATAAAAAAGTAAAAGCTCCATCATTGTCATGAGGTCTATTGTCAGTTATTCAAAAATTAAAAGTACTTACGTGGCGAGACATGAGATGTGAAACATATTTCGTATGTATCGTAACTTTCTGTGTTAAACGAAAATTTCCCTTTGGATATATCTTGTCGTTTAGCTAGAATATGGCCCTTGGAATCTGTTACCTAAAATGTACTTTTAGCAATATACAATTTTTTATATACATTATGTAGTTTTATTCAAGACAAGAACTTACAACATAATCTACAGATTGTCTGGGGGCCTCGGATACTTCGAATTCTCCTATGACGGGCACATTTTGCTGTAATTCTTCTCTCAAGCATTTCTGTGTGTTTGGTTCTAAATTCCACATTATACAATTTACTGCCGCAACAGTACTTAAGACTAATAAAGCGTATTTATGAAAACGTTCCATTTTCTTAGTTATTTCACTTTCACTATGAGTAAAATAGAAATTTACAGATTTTTTTTGAGAATATATGAGGTTGGATGAGGTGGCCTAATGACTGTCAAAACAAGGACAAATCACTACACTTAGGCAACCATGGAAACAAGTAGAGATGTAACAACATATTACAGACAGTCCGACATAGTTTCGAATATTTTATCTTTTCGCCGAATCCATCAGGTTGCTATCAGCGCATATGTTTTGTGGATACAATCAGAGATTATTGATTTTGCACCTTTATAACATCGGGCCAACAGGAATTTTTGACACCACAAAAACTCTGAGTAGTCAGTATTGATATGAATACCGATAATTGAGTGTTTCAAGCGTCTACTCATCGCTAACTATGCAAAAGTCATTTTTGACAAGTCAGGATTTACAAATACAAACGTCAAGAGGCGATAAGAAAAAGCAAACAGTGCAGTTGAATAGAAATTGTAGTTAAACCGCAAAAATGGACATAAGACATCTTTTATCGTACTCCTTGGTGTTATTTGGAGTATGCTTGTTCATTGTAGGCACTAATTCACAAACTGAAGATGTCCCTTTGTCAAAACTTAGTCAAAACGTCGGCGCCCCAACCTTAAAAATTTTATATTGGTAGGTATTTGCCCTTAATTGTATTAACTCCGCATTAATTTATGTATTCCGTAGTTATTCCTGTGGATATAAGAAAATGTTTGAACAGTATGCCTCAATACTTAATCAGAAATATCCTTATATACTGGTTGATGGGGCAAACTATGATCCCCCAGGGATGAACATGTTCATTGCAAGGGCTATAGTAAGTATTGATTTTTTTTTTAATTGTGTCTGTAAATGAACCTTGATTGTAACAGTCGCCTCTCATATCTGTTAATCCAACTTCATTGTATCACTTTGCTTTGTTGGACAAGGTTGAATCATCATGTACTTTTCAGTTGCATAGGTACCAAATGCCTCTTGTAAATCTATATTAAGCACTAAAATTCAATGTGATTGTTTTTGCTATTTGAACTACCTAACTATGAAATATGCTGTTTGAACTGTAAGTAGTATTAATCTGTAGGTTTTATAACTTGAAAAAATTGATTTTGTCAACTTTTTAATTTTGGTCATTTAAAAAATAGGTACAGAATTAAGTGTCCCACAAATATTGGATAATCATCAAATATTGAAACACTTCAGTTTTCAGCAATTTGTTGGTACTGATCACTTTTTGTGAATATAATGCTAGATTTAGCAGGTAACTATTTAGTCTCAAAAACCTTGTAGATGTTCGGATTTTGGTGGATAATTTGAAAATTGATCAGAGGTAGTCAGAAAAATGTCAGACAAATAAAATCTACTCACACTTTTCATTTGCATTTTAGTTATAACTATATAAAATAACTTTAACATATAGTAAAAATGCCTGCCTACCACAGGTGCAGTGTATTAGGTACTCAGCCAGATAGCTCAGCTAGGTACTATAAGTATTATCAGGCTTATATTTGAGTTTTTGGAACATCTCCTCTGTCAATTGATTCACTATCCTAGGAAGGTAGCTGTGCAATTTGAACATTTTTTTTTGTGAGGGAAATGCCATATATATGCCTGAATTTCCAGTTTTATTATCTAAATATTCAGAATCTGGCAACTGTAGGTACATATTTTTTATACAACGTTTTAATATGCTTTGTCAAATTTAGCAGTTATAATTATGACATTACATTTCTAGAATTTTTTTTATATACTCTTTATTCCTTTCTATCACAAGATTAGATTATATATTAGTTCTAAATGGAAGCCATACATTTGAGAGGTATATGCTCCACATTTCAAACTTACACTTTTGTTGGACTGACAGCATCAGGTTCTATGCTGTCCAAATTTTAAACATAATCCATGAAAACCACTGTCATGTCATGGTCATCATGAATACTGGCTCTAAATCCTAAATGTTTCTAGCAAGAGGTTACAAAAGAAACACAAATCAGTAACTGCTTAATGAGATAAAACTAGGTGGAAGAACAAATAAAAAAATGTAAAATAGGCAATACTACAATGTGGTTTCAGTTTAATTCTTTGATTTATACAAGTTGTGTGTCTTGAATTCAGACTAAGTAATTATCACATACGAACTACTCAGTGCATACTACTAATAAAAACAATGATACATCATGCTTAGTTACAGGAGTGATAGAATATGAACATTATCAAAGATTTGTTTTAACAAGTAAAACAAATTATATTTTCCCATTCTAACCTATTTTTTTTTCAGGGATTCCTGAAAACCATTGCAATTCTTTGCATTCTCTTAGGTGTGAATATATTTGAGTATATAAACCAACCAAGGCCTTCCTGGTGGATATGGTGTACAGAAAACAAAATATATGCTTGTATGATGCTTTTCTTTCTCAGCAATGTTATAGAAGGTCAGTTAGTTCAATCAGGAGCCTTTGAAATGACATTGAATGATGTTCCAGTATGGTCAAAATTAGAGACTGGTAGGATACCCCAACCTGCAGAGTTATTTCAGATCATAGATAGTCATATGCAGTTTGATACTAAAATAGAATTAGATGGGTATACTAAATAATGGTGTACAGCCAGTGTATAGCAAGATATTTGAATTTCTGTTAGGCATCTTTTGGGGATAGTCAAAATTCAATATTTTGCTAGATTCAGAGTATTGAAGATTGATCAATTAGAAATTAAACACAGATATGGCCAACATGTGATTGTGAATAATTACTCTTTTGGTTTCTAGGATTTTGGGGTATATTGCAATTATTATTGTATGAAATATATGTCTGATAATTTAAAAATCAAACATTTCACTTTCATTCAACACCTGCATTAGATTATAAATCCTTCCTAGGACTTATTTTTCTTTTTTTTATTCAAAATATAATTTACAGGGAAGCAGTGTAGTCTCCTATGGGTCAACCTGTTTTGAACCATTTTTAATATTCGCAGTATTCAATATAGAATATATTTTAAAGCAAATTAATAAAAACTCATATGTCTTCTCATTTTCATTGTGAATGTTAATCATGTTAATTACCTTTCACATATGATATTATATTATATTTGTATTATTTTGGGTACTAGTAATCCAAATTATAGCAATCTAAATCGGTTATGGTTGATAAATATTTGGAGGTGGAGCGAAAGTTTGACTTCTTAAAGACTCATACTTTTTCAAAAAACCTTCATTTTGATTCAAGTAGAAAAAATGTCTATTACAAAAACAGTTTTTGAGTAAGCACTTGACGGAAAAATGCTCACATTACACTTGTTTCACTTGAACATGTAAGTTCAAGAATATCCACCTTTATATGCCATTTCAATCATCTGAAGGCTATCATCACAATCGGAGCAAAAAGTAAATGTTAATATTTGATGTGATGACAATATTATCTCAGTTTGAATTTGTGCTATTTTTCTACTCTTGAGTGTATCTCTCCATTTATCACGTATTGATTTCTTTTTATTTGAAAATGTAAATATTCCACTACATATTTAATTGTATTTTTTAATATAACAGTTGTACCATGTGATAAATAAACGACTCAACTTTTTACATTTTTTATTTATATGAAAGCCGCCCATAGATCTTTGAACCTGCATTGAAAATGCCGTGTCAAAATAATACCCATACAAAACTAAAATCGTGTTAGATTGTCATTATCGTTTGAGACAAGATTATTTATTTTTAATGTAACTTCATTTAATTACAACACGCATACGCATAAATATATCAACAGGTTAAAACTACGTTAAACAAAAGTATTTCAAGATACTATAAACATCGCACCAATAAGCAAAAACACCCCTCTTGCTACTTTTCAGTTTGATCCTCCTTCACTTTGCTAAGAATAGATAATTTTAGATATATCAACGTTTTGGAGTTTTTGTAACTTACCTCGTCTGAATCGCTTGAAAGTTGGCCAAAAAGTGATTTCTCTGCAAAGGGAGTAACACTATCATTTATACAGGGTGTGAACTTTATGATAGTCATTATTTAAATGGGTTAAAAGAAGCAAAAAGTTTCATATAACATGGGGGCATTTTTTTAGAGAAAAGCGACTTTAAAGTAAAAGAAAATCTGACAACGCCGCAATGCCAGACGCAAATTACGAGGGAACGCAGTGTAAATAAAGATGGAGTTTGTTATTTTTGTATCTTGGGTATTATTTCATTATGTGACAATGTACTCGTAAAATGCAAACAATTAAAAAAACGGACTTACCACTAACTGTCTCAGCGCTTCACCTGGTGTGTGAAAGTTTATTGAACATATTAAAAAAAAAAACACTTATAAATAGGGAACTAACAACAATGTCGGCGAACTCTTGATTCGAGAACATTGTAAATAAACACGACGACGTACGCGAACAAAAACAAAACAACACGCCCGATGCTCTGCTCGACAAAACGATAACTAACCACTGTTACCGTTTGCGGTCGATTGCCGGTTCGGTAAGAGTGATGAAAGACCGACGCGCTGTTGTCATGTGTGTTTTAAATATTTAATTTAATGAAACTTACTGACTACAAATTTTGGCGTAACTTAAAAAAACTTAATGCCATTTATTTGTTAATTACCCAATTTAAAAATGTTTTAGATTAGATTATAAAAATTAGTAAGATTGTGGTCGATATAAAGCACTTAAAGTTGTAAACTATAAAGCCATTTAGACCAAAATCAATTGCCTTTTGGACCATGGCCCATATGAACTTTTTGATTTGTTTTGACCCCCCACTATTACCCATTTCAATAATGACTACCATAACGTTTACACTCTGTATAGGGGTTTGTTCAGTTTGAATTTTGCAACAGGGTTTTCGGAAATATCAAGATTAGCATATGTGATGTGTAAATGCATTTCACCAGCACTCGTATTCAGGGCTCAGTGTGCCAAAAAACGATGTTCATTATTTTACTTATTTATAATTAATAAAATCGAAAAATCGGTTTGAATATCTGACCACGATTTGGACAATGGTAAAACTGCACCGATAATTTTGACACTTTTTGTTTTTCGTATTATCCTCATGAAACAAAACTAATAATGTTTTCATTACCATACTGCTTCAAAGCCTTTGTTGGATCTTCATAGATAATCTCAAACTTGGACGATATCTGTAAGTACGAAAAAAAATACAGCTAACATTGAACGCATGATATCAAACGCGAAATTCGCTATCTGTATTAATAAATGCAACTGGATTATAAACCTCCGCGGCACCTTTTTGGGGACTAGACTAATTCTACCCCAATCAGTAAAATGTCTAGGAATTATCTTGGATTGTAAACTGATTTGGAGAGAGCATGTCGAGTAGACTTTGTGAAGTGGAGGCTTAAACCCAAAGTGGTACACTGGCTCTATACGACGATAGTACGTCCATTTCTTTTGTATGGCTCCCTGGTTTGGTGGCCTTGGAGTGGAACCGAAACAACTAAGCAGGCCCGCCGCTATTTGTTTGAACGCCGGCGTGCAATGCTGATTTAGCTGCCCCATGTATACGTATAACTCTACGCTGAGTTCTGTCTGTGTCAGTGAATCACTGGTACGGGTTCGATAACATCCAATCCGGTGAACTACTTCTGCGATTCAGAGTATCAAATTGAATCCAAAGCCATTTAGATATAAGTACATATTTATTTCTAAAGACATTGAACATTTCTTGCCTTTAAATTTTCGCATCCAAGCTGTCTAAAACTTCATGTTCAATAGAAACTATAGCTAAATTGCTTACTATTTGCTGGTGCATTGTTGTCCTCAACATTTTTTTTAACCTTTAAATTAGAAAAATACCTTCAACCGGATGCAACTGTGACTGGCAATGTAAAATATTCGTAGCGCTATTGCTGTATTTGGAAATGTTGAAATTGAATCATTAGTAAGAAGGTATTGTAACAAAGTATGAGAATCATTAGGCTGATTTTCTGGAAAGTGCAATTTCCAAGCTTTAATTTCATTAAATGAATCGATACCATCAATGTGAGTTTCGGCAGTAGATTTGAATTTTTACAATGCATCATTAAGTCATCGTTGCAGTAATTAAATAAGTTATTGCTTAAAAAGCCGAATACGTCAGTAAAAGTTATAACTCCTCGAATCTGTCCTTTAGAGAGGTTAGCGTCTGATCTAAGATTTTGAAAAAAAAATCTACTTTGTATTTAATCTTGGGGTCTAATAACACTTCGTCACTGTGTTCCTATTAAAATTGGGTTGGTCTTCTTCTAACACGAATCGTGTGTTTATTGGCGGAAATTTGCTTATACGTTGAGATCCTGAGCTACTTTTGTAGCTTCTTGTAATAGCTGCGCAAAGTGCTCATCCGTGCGATATTCGCTTAACTTAATAATGAATCTTTCCAACAAATTTGCACAGATTTGTATGTTCATTGTGGGGCTTTGCATTATTTTGCTTAAAGCATTAATTGCGTTTGAAACATCAAACCAAATTATTATTGAGCAAGTAAATCTATAATGTTGAATGCTCAGCGCAAGCAAATGAGCTTTGTGAGATATTGCACAGTCCCATTCTGACGAATTATTATCAGATATTTCCAGCCAAGCATCAAATCTTTTTTCAAGATGGTACCGCTTTTAATTTGAAATCTGGTAAATGTTTGCAAATTATCGACCACCTCTTTGTAGATGATCAAAAGAAAACGTAAATTTCTTGAATTATATTAAAGAATTTCACCGTTTCGTGCGAAATATTTGCTGCATCATTGACGACCAAATTTAGACTATGAACTCAGCAAGCGACGTAAAATGCACGGCCGTTGATTTTCAACAATTTTTTGTTTCGATATCTGTTTACTGGTAGACATTGGTCTTCATTTATCATATTGGCATTTGCGCTCAGAAGTGCTGCAAGTGCTTAAGTATGGAGCTGTCACCCCTCTTTCCCGCCATTCAATTTAGTCACCGCTACCCTTAGAGGACCTGTACCACTAATGCTGTTGTAATAGTGAAGACTGTTTAAATAAAATACGAATTTTGCCGCACTTTATCATTGTGTTTTGTTTGTTGAGTCTGCACATTGGCTGTACTACATAGTGATGGTTTATAAGTTAAGTATCATATAATAAAACTTGAATTTACCGCTTCTAAATCAGTACTAAGAAGGTAATATAGTTCTTTCGAAATCCATTCGGCTTCCAGAGCCAGTTCTTTATTGAATAGTGTCTTTCTAAACCTTTTTTTCTTAACATTTTTCAGTGGAGGACACAAACCATGTATTGTCTCGACTTTGTCTGAAAAAATAAAATAAAATTTAGTATGGGAAAGTAAAACAATTGCCTCTCAGAAAGCGGTCCGTAGCAGTGTTGCTAGGTATTATTCGTCAGAGCGGTCCGGTGGACCTTTGCTCTTAGTTAAAAGTCTCGTCGGTCTGTTAGACTGTCAGGTCTGGCTACCCAGATACCAAATATGTTTAAGGGGAAAAGGGAAAGAAACGAAGGAAGAAATAGAGTAAAGAAAAGAAGTAAATCATTTGAAATAGCATAAGTATTATTGCTTTGACTACTCGAATTATTTTGTAACTCCAAAAAATAATTTTGATCGGTTTTGTATACTGAAATAATTTTGGTTGGTCTGAATTTACAATTTAATTTTGATCACAGTGCGAGGCGCGGCCTGGAATGTTTGCGAAATTGCTCGACTGTGTAGTCTACTGAATCACGCAACAGAGGGTTGCTGTGCGATTCCGCTTGATTATAACGCCGTTGCGCCTGTTGTTTTACGTAATCCCTTAGATATGGGACACGTACCAAGGGGCGTTCGTAATTGTGCGTAGGGTTCTGTTTTGCAGGACTAGCAGTCTCTGCATGTGCGTCTTGGCAAGAAAACACCAAGCCGCGCATGCGTAGGTGATTGCGGGTCTTATGACCATTTTATACAATCGAATCTTGTTAATTTTGAATTTCTGCACAACAAAGGACAAAGCTGCCGAAAGGTAATTTAGAATTTTGTTTTTAAAATATCAGTATGATACCTGACAGATATCTCCCATGGTATACGAGTTCCATTCACTGATATCTCTGAGGGAGTACAATAGATTGCCACCGCTCTCTGCAGCCTGTCGTGAACCAGGTTACCAGAACCAGACTGGGCTAGCAATGCAGTGTCGTCAGCATAGATATAGACTTCACAGTTGCTGGGGCAAGGGACGTCATGTATATAAAGTGAATAAAGTATTGGTCCTAAGACCGAACCCTGAGCAACACCGGCTCTTACGGGCCGTGTTGTTGACAACACATTGTTAATTTTGATCCGAAACTTCCTTCTAGAAAAGATTTCAACAGTTTTAGTAGCCGAAATGGAAAACCCTTTTGGATGAGCTTATACAAGAGGCCCATGTGCCACACCTTGTCAAATGTCTTTGATACATCTAAAAGCAAGATACCAGTACTTTTGTTCAGGGTGAACCCCCTGGTTACATGCTCCACCAGTCTAACTGCCGGTAGCTCCGTAATATGCTCAGACCGAAAGCCGAATTGCACGTCAGGAATCACATGGTGATCTGGCGAGAAATTCTCAAGGTGACGATAAATCACCTTTTCAGCGAGCTTAGAAGGAGCTGACAGCAGACTAATGGGACGGTAATCGTGGGGGAATATCGAACCTGCCTTCTTTGGGATCATGATGACTTCAGCGACTTTCCACGCCTTAAGAAAGTAATGAGCTCTGAGCATTGCATTGATTATTGCCACTAGATAAGTCAAAGCCTTGAGCGAAAGCAACTTCAGTGCTTTGTTGGCGATTTGATTCTCTCCAGGTGCTTTACGCACCTTAGGTCCTTAATGTCGCCTTGCAGCTCTGCTGGTGTGCAAAACGGAATCTCAGAGAATTCCGTTGATGTGCTATGCTGAGATTCATCTGAAGAGTCTTCCGTAGAAGAATCTTCTGAAAAGGAGTCACCGATGTTGGTAACGCCATTCGCTCTCAAGTATCTCCTGACATCTTACAATTTGCCGTTCCTCGTCAAGGTCATTGTCCAGATCATAATTGGGAGAGAACTGCCTTTCCATGAAATCAGCAAAAACCTCCACTTTATCCTCAGTCCTAAAAACTATGCCTCCAGAATCATGAATATGTGATAGTTGTTCTTGCCTTCCCTTTACTTGATTCAAGCATCCCCGCCAGAAAACCGCTACACTGCTCATTGCGGAATTCATGGAGTGCATTTCTCACTTCATGGACGAGATTCGTCGCTCTACGAAAGTCAACAGGATGAGTGTTGCTAGGTATTATAGACGAACAGTTTTCGGTAGATGAAATTTTTTGGTAGATTTCGGTAGACATAAAGCAAAAACTTGCAGATAATTAAAAAATTGTAGAGGGGAGAGCACCTTGCTTGTGTTCCACTCGATTTTAAAAAATGATGAGGAAATTCTGCTATTTGCACCCATTCTCGTGATTCCTTGGCTTATATCCGAAATAAGACTAAGGGTTCCAAAGATTTTTCGGTAGATTCGCATTAAAATCGTAGTTTGGTAGAAGACTAAAATCGGTAGATCTACCGACAAATCAGTGGACCTGGTAACACTGATCCGTAGGATCATGGATAAGGTCTTCAGTTTGTCATGTCTGGTTGTTCAGATATAACAACATAGCCAAGAAGAAAGGAAGGAAGGGGGTACCGCTGGTTGAAAGAATGCCTTGATTCAAATTGTTCTAGAAAATTATTTTTCTGTGTTCGAAATTTGATTTTGGTTGGTTCTAAATTAGGACAATTTGTGTTTGCTTATAGCTGTCAAACGCGGCCTTTTGTCTGTTTATAAACTTGGTGCACGGGCAATCAGTGGCGCTTCCGGGGTTTCAGTCTTGGGGTAAATTTTGGACAAAATATATTTTACAAAAAGTCATTATTATTTTTAAGCGTGTCAGACAAGTTTAAAAAAGTTATGGGGCATGATTACCCACCTCATTCGATAGTTGCACTTTTGAGAAGATGTAAAAAGACATTGCTGGCAACAGAGAGTTGTGAATGATTTAGCTTAAGATTTGTGCTATAAAACATCAATGCATCTCTAAAGATTGTTGATACACGTGCTCCTGCTATGTGTTAGATTTACGCACATATACAAAACGCACTAAAAATTGAGGAATTTGCCCAAAATTTCGTGGGTACTCTGTACCGTTCCGGAGACGCATAGAACACATTTTACAAAAAATTTTGCGTATTGGCAGCTTAGGCGAATACGAATCTGATTTAAGTGTTTCGCTGAGATAAATGGGGTTTTGGTAGGAATATACCAAAAAGCCGCTAAATACCTATGTGCTTGCTGATGGTCCAACAACATTTATATAGCAAAATAGTTGATGAGCAATGTTTGAATTGCGCTAAGATTCTTATATTAGTTGCTTATGATGGGCGGTTTGTCATATATTGATTGTAATTGGTATTAAAAATCACCTGTGGTTATTTCGTCAACGTCTTTACTGCAAGCTGCCATATAGCAAATATCGGCGGTTTTAAACAGGTTTGACCTGTTATTGCATATGTTGGTTTTATACGACTCTACAATAGTCGGCAGCTTTTTTAATGCCCCATACAATCTTTTATTACACCAACTAACAGTCACTGAATTGTCAGCAGTGTTCAGATCCATCTTTAGATATTTTGAAATTCTTTCCGGTTTGTAGTTGATCATATTTCTGATTTCCCTAGCCTCATCCTGAAAAATAATAGATTTTAATATTCGTTCACAAAATTAGTTCACTGGACAACCTTTGGAAGACGTAGAATAAATTGTTCCTCTAGTTGTGTTTTTTCATCATCCATATCAGTGATAAGCTAAGAACTTTGCAAAAAAATATTAAATTATATTTGAGTTATTTCAAACATGTATTTGAATTTTGAATGTTTCTCAGTTTTAACATGTCAATGTAGTCACGTGATCAATACATAGGACATAGGCACAGAAATTATGTAGTCCTGTGTTCACCGATAAAGGAGAGTAGGTAACCGTAGCACGTAATCCGTTAGTACCAGTTCTTGTATATGTTTTGACAGAAGCCATTTCCAAACTACCTGGTCCGAACGAAATATTTTGTGCGAGTATGCAAAAAACTATTGAATTTAGGTTTATCCATGTATCGGGTGCTAAAAAGTGTACGATAATTATTCATGAATTTCATTCAATGTGTGAGGAAAGTAAATACCAAGCGAACATTGGGTACAATTTGAGTATTTTCAACTAAACGTAAACTTAAAATATGAACGTGCCAAGTTATTTTTGTATCCAGATCTAGAAATATTTTTATAATTACCATTTCCAACAACAATATCGAATCAAGCAATGGACAAGTTTACCATCTTTTTTGTTGTTATCTCAAATGAAAGTTTAGGAAAAATGAAACAAGATCATGAAAAAATTATTAATTTATATCTAAAAACAAAAAAGTTACAGCCTATCATAGTTGCGCCCCACGAGAATATTTTTATTCCGTCTGCACGTTACGCGTGACGTCACACTTCAGTATCCAGTTGCAACGCCTGCGGCTGATTACTGGGCCCGAGCCGACTCAATCCCCTAAACACATGCTTAGGCACACATACAGCGGGACTCATGGTAGGCTAAACGTCTTCTGCCCCAATTTGTTTAATTAGTTGACTGCATATACGATATGTTATGAGTGAAATGAGAAAAAAGTTTGTTATAAATACTGTACCGTTCCAAAATGTACGAGCACAACAATTACAACCCCATAATAAAAAAAATTTTATGTACCTTCACATCCATAATGGTATGAACTTACGCAGTACTCAATAGCTATCAACTGGAAACCACGAGTCCGAGCGCACAGGTGTGTCTTATGAATTGTCTATAGACTAACGACAAAGACTAAACGCATAGACGCTGTCGAACACCTACGCGACGAGACGCTGGGCACTAGAGAAGTGTGACGTCAGACGCGAACGAACGGCAGCGATGATTTCGCGCTATAATGCGCCAAATTTAAGTTCAATTTCTCCGTCTTTTATTGGCCGATTTCAATAATTTTTTCACTGGTTGTTTATATTTAGTCTATATTTTGCTGGTATGTCATTACTTATGCGATTCTGAATATCAGGAAACTTCTCCATTGCCAATTACCATCTCTAGCAGATAACTGTTGTCCATCTCTAGCAGACAATTTTCATTGTCCTGTCATTTTGTGTCCTGTCACTTGAAGTTGCTTGAAGTGGTCCAAGTCTTTACCAGCTTTTATGTGGATAATTTATAATTTTAAACTGATTCATTAAACATATTTGGAAATGGCTGGAAGACCAGGTCCCCCGAGACGCATTCCTGAGAATGATAATACCATAGCCTACGTTCAAGCCGACGGTTTGGTAAGTAGAGTCCATTGTTGCATATGGGTGCCACCTAACCTAAAATAAAGCTTTTTTCTAATGTTTTCCATCTAAATATTATCAATTATTTGTATTACAGGCTGTAATGAAGATTGTTAAACACTGCCATGAAGAATCAACCACCAACATGGACGTAGCACAAGGTGCACTACTTGGCTTGGTTGTTGATAACCGTCTTGAAATCACAAATTGCTTCCCTTTTCCTAAGCAAACAGATGAAACAATGGACGAAGATGAATACCAGTTAGCAATGATGAGAAGGCTACGTAGAGTGAATGTTGATCACTTTCATGTTGGATGGTATCAAAGCGCTGATGTCGGCAACTTCCTCAGTCTTCCAATGCTGGAATCCCAGTTCCACTATCAGACTTCAATAGAAGAATCTGTAGTAGTAATTTATGACACTCAGAAATCATCTAGGGGATTCTTGTCTTTTAAAGCATATCGTCTTACTCCTCAAGCTATTGAAATGTATAAAGAGGGAGAGTTCACGCCAGAGGCATTGCTGAAGATGAAAGTAGGGTTTGAAAATCTGTTCACAGAGGTGCCCTTTTTAATAAAGAACTCGCCTTTGTGCAATATTATGATGTCTGAGGTAGCAGAAATGGTTCCAGAAGAGGATGGTGCTAAATTTTTGGATTTGGGCACTGCATCTGTGCTTGAAAATCATTTGAGGTGTCTCATGGATCGTGTCGATGAACTCAATCAAGAAGCTATTAAATTTAATAGGTACTTACTGCTTATACATATTAACCCTCTTTTCATTGTGGTGATTATTTGGAACAAAAGTTCTATTCCTAGTGGGGAAGTTCATTTTTCTTTAGATGTATTCGTACACATAGTTTTTGATCAGCTTGAGAATTTTTGTCCTGTGATTCTTTGGCATTTTTGGACAATGTATATTATTTTCAATTTTCTATTTTTTACAATTTTGTCTCAGAAAATGTTACAACATATCTGTAAGGGATAAAGTTCCAAAACATGTATGTGGAAAATGAGAAACTAAAAGCACCATTCATTTGCTATTCTTATATGCAAACAATTATTGATTTTTCAAGTTGCATAGGTAATATTTTGTAGTATTGTAGTAAGTATTTGTTTGTAATATTATTTGAAATTTTTTCTTTTAGATACCAGCAGCTGGTCAATCGCCAACAGCAGGACAAGCACCGTTATCTCCAAAAGCGAGCCCAAGAAAATGAAGCAAGGTCAGCTAAAGGCGAACCACCATTGCCTGAAGAAGATATTAACAAATTGTTCAAACCACATCCAGTTCCACCAAGGTTGAACCCAATGATTATTGCTGGACAGGTCAACTCTTACAGTCAGGCAATCTCACAGTTCTGCTCTCAGTCATTGGCTAAGCTGTATATCACACAGGCATTGCAGAACGCTAAGGAACCAGGTGCAGGTCATTGAGGCATACATTGTATGTTATAGGTTCAGCTTTTTTATAAGTATAATGTTCAATAAACATACATTTCTGAATATGCAACTCAAAAGACTTGTAAGATTGCCGAGTGATCCTTTCAGTGTCAGCTTTCAGGATAATAAAAACCTTAAAACAAATTAAGTTGTAAAAAGATTGCTTTTTTAACTGGGTTTGCAGACAAATAAATTCTGTTGTGTCAATGATTCTGGAAGACAGGTTAGTTAAACCATTATTCTATTCATTGATTTCACCATAATAATAGCCCAGCTCTTCCAAATTCGAGCCTCACCATTGTGAAACAGTAAGAGATAGGAAGTCGTAAAACGGGGGCAAAGTTGCTGAAAATGACAATAAGAAAGTTTCGTAATTCAGAGTACTTCCGAAAAGAGACGAAAAAAAAACGGATTTTTCCAAAATGGTTTTAATTTCTACCTGGCTGTGTTAACACACTTTTATAAGCTTGGCCTGTAAGAATGTATGTACCGTAAACTTTAAGTAAAATTTTCACTAATTTCTATAAGTTTGAATAATTTGAAACTTCGCACACGTATCAAGGACCATGACAATGCAATCATTTGATAACAGTTTTCCATTATCCTAATTAGGAACGCCAGGATGGATAAATTCTTTTATAGACCCTCTCTAGGGGAGTAAGAGAGATAGAGCTAGCGCGCGATATGCGCATACGTGCAGTTTCGGATTTACTCTTTGTTGGTTTAGGCTCTCAGCACAGCACCTTGTTCATTTCAAATGTTGTCATTATTCCTGAGATGGGTCTCGACCGTCCACAAGATGCGAGGTTGTACAGTCGATCATGCAATCATTTATTTAGGCTCGCGACTGTTTGCTGCTGGACAAGCTTATGTAGCACTTAATCGTGAAAGAATTTTTAGACAGGAATTCCGATTGAAGAATTTGGTTGCTCTAAGTTAACAGGAAAAACCTCATGCAACAGAGAAGCTTTAAATGAAATGATTCGTAAGACATTTAAATACCACATGTCCACAAAAAACTAATTGATAAATCGAACTGAAAAATAAATGATTATTTAAAAAACAAAAAGAAAAAACGCTTTTATAGCTAACCGAACTAGAAAATAATTTTTAATTACAAAGAGTTTATATTACAGTAGTAGATGGTCGCACAATCAATCATAATTGAAGACCTTGATGCAAGAAGTGGATAAGTAACAATATGTTAATTTTCCAGGGGAAGCAAAAAAGTTTTTATTTCTAAATTTTAAAGCTATGTCGATCATGAAGTTTGGCTAAACTAGTACAACAGCCATAAATGATTTTATCATCATTATCTAGCCAAATAACAATGCTATTAAGAAAAATGAAATATTGGTGCAATAAAGGGATAAGTGAAAGACTTTTCATTATCTAATTTAAAGCAGGTGGAAAAAGGGGATAAGTTACATTAAAACCATTTTCAGCAAAAAAAACTTTATTAAATACTAACCAACAATGCAAGTTAATATAAACAAAGCAGTCCTGATTTTAACAGAAGATAAAATGTTTCTTATGAATATAGGTATATTATATTATCCTACTAAGTATAGAAATTAGCAAAAATATGTGTTGAAGAATTAAAAATAGCAAGATTAAGTAATTAATCAGACTCAAAGTCAACAGAGCAATCTGTGTCCGTGACATCGAAATCAACTTATACATTTCGTTTTTCCCGACATATTCCTGAGCTAGCAACATCACATTTTCATATTTCGCATGCTTAATAGGTAAGGCATTATCGTAATATTTTGACATTAAAGCTAAATTTGGTTTGGAGTTTTTTTTAAGCATCATAAAATGTATAAAAAAAGGGATACTAGCAGACTGACTAACTTCGCACCATCTGAATTTTTTGTGTATTTAAATACGCGATATGTAGAAATGGAAAACTTTTCTTTAGAGACAGCTTTTGGCACTGGAAGAAAATAATCTTTCAAGCCTGCCGCATAGTTATACATTATCTCCTGAGTCACAGGAATAACAAAAAAGTTTTTGATGATGATTTAACTATATTCATATACTCATGTAAGAAAACCGTATCAATACATTTCTTCTATTTTCAATTATTCCAAAGTAACGATCGCAGGGAAGAAAACTGTGCCCAACCTCAGGAAAACGATGAATTATTGTATCAAATTTTCCTTCCTGACACATTGCAACTAAAAACCTAACCAAAGTATTATTTTTATTTTGCGCACAACAGTTATCGCTGATTAAATATAAGATTTTCACATTGGGATTTAAAACTTTTTCAAAATAGTAATTTAGAAAACTTAACACGTCATTTGATCCTTTTTTAGCTATACTTTCATCATACATAAAGAAATGTCCTGTCTTATTTTTTGCAGAGTGTATGCAGAAATTATGTACCCATAACTGCCGTAAATAAAATGCATCTCCTGAAGGCACCTTAGGAATGGGCATGTTTTGTTGGAAATCGAAGCACAAAACTTCAATTTCATCATTTTCTTGCGCTTCTTTGGATTTTTCCTTTAGCTCTTTATAGAACCATTCAGACTTCTGGAGATGTATTTTTCTCTGGAACGCAAATGCCATCTTTTCTTCTTCTGAATCGGCACTTTGTATCCGATTGTTTAATATGTCGCATTTTTTGCAAGTGTCCTTACCTGCTGTACCAAAACTAATATTAAAGTTCTCACGTATGATATTTTTGGTTTGTATGGAACACCGTCTTGTTTTAATTTATGAACATCTGGTTCATACTTTTTCAGATATAAATCATACATAATGGAAATATTTAAATCGCTGGACAAATAATATTTATCGTTTTTTTACGAGTATAATGGGAAATACGTTTGGAAAGCTGTTGGGCCTACTTGAATGACGAACCCTTTTATCCTGAACAGGTGTAATGTTTGTAGATAGGTGGGTTGCGATCGGCTCCAGACGTTTTTTCCCTATACCATGAAGAAGACATATAGCCATTTTGCAAACATTTAGCTCAAATGCGCCTTTTCGTAACTGAAAAGAAAATTGCTAATAAAATTTCTAAAATATTCACCGCAAAACCATTAGAACATTTTTAAACTTATGTGGATAAACGTACTACAATTAATGATGTTAAAAAGTATTACCTTGTACTTATAGGTGTGATTCCTTAGTATCCCTGGATTTCCTTCAATTTTGCGGCGTCGAGTAATCTGCAAAACTTGTATCAAACTTGACAAATAAGAGTCTTGTTTTTCTTGATTTGAAAGAGTGTTAAAAGCCGATATTATTTCTTGCTTTTCAGTTTCTGAAAGTTTTTCTATGCATTTCTTGCTACATTTGCAATCATCGCCTTGTTTTCGTTCTGGTACCAGCTTTCCCGTTGACGTAGACTTATAAGCTTCACCTTTAGCCCTTTTCATTTTCTGCACATTCCTTTTCCAGCTGTCCGGTTTTCTTATTTTCTTTCGTCCACGTTTGTTATTAGCGGGCTCATTATCGGCGGGTTTTTGCCCTTCATCCAAATTATTTTCAGACGCACTAGAATTTGAAGGCAAATAAATACTCACTGCCTGAACTTTGAAAAGGTTCATCCTCACTGTCTGAACTCATATTAATATCTTACGTTCTTTCAAATAGTCAACAATGTTTCAATATTTTCTACACCGCACGTACCACACTAGCGTATTATCGCTGTCCAATGGTCTTTCGGTGACTACGTGACTCGGATCATGTGCACATACACCTTACCCGATTGCGTAAGCAAAATGGTCGGTGCAGGAGGGGGATAGAGATACCAACATATAAGAAATTATTCAAAGTTTGGTGCAAGGACGGGATAAGTTACACATATCTTATACCGTTCTTGCACCAGACCATACCAGGGGATATGTAGTTTGCTATCATAATTCAAAAAAAAGCAATTTTTTAAACCTAAATAAGCACCTATCTCGCTTTTGCAGAATTATGCACTTATCCCCTTCTTGCACCAGGGTCGTCAATTAATGACCTCAAAATAAAATTATAATAAAATTTAAGTTATTAACAGAATAATTAAATTTAGAGTAATAAGCGTGGGATGCATTTTACTACATTTAATTGCCAATAGAATGATTGTAACATTTAATATATCAAGTACCAAACACTTTTTACTCTGAATTGAATTATTCTGCTAGTAACTTAAATTTTATTATAATTTTATTTTGAGGTCATTAATGATTGATTGTTCGACCATCTATGTAATATAAACTCTTTGTAATTAAAAATTATTTTCTACTTTTTAGTTCGGTTAGGTATAAAAGCGTGTTTTTTAAACTATTATTTATTTGTAGTGGAATTGCATAATTATAATTTCAATATGACTTTTCGTTTCTTGTCCTTTACCAACTTTATTTTTTCTTAAGGACGCCATATAGGACTTTTGCACAGTGAACGTTTTCAATTCTGATTTCAAAAATGACAATATCATCATTTGTTGTGTATACTTGATTTATTCCAAAATCATTTTTATTTTTTCCTCACTATTTGAGTTGGAAATTAATATAAATTGCATCTTGTCATTGCTACTTATACTCATCTAGAATTCAAGGTTTCTTCTTTCGACTTCCATCACCAACTTTGTTTTTTCATATGGACGCTATATTAGAATTTTGTACATTTAAATGACATAACTAGAGGAAAATCATAACAGATGTTCAATATTTATCCATTACTTTGTAGATAAAACACTCTTCTCTGTACATTGTTCAATGTTGGATTTATTTGCCTTCTTCTCACCCTTCCAGACTCTGTTACTATACCCTATTTCACGAGTATCCATCACAGTAGAAGGACAGCAGAATGTCTAGTAATATCTCAAAATTCCCCATATCGGCACAGGACACATTATTCTAACGGATCCGACAACGTCAGGTAGTCTGAGCCAATTTTGTTTTGGTTTTATGTACGCTACAGATCCATTTTGTACTTGCTAACAGCTCTTTCATTTAGAAAAGTGCATTTGCATAGAAAAAACAAAACGCTACAAAACAAGTTTTACTAGATACAAAACAAGTTTTACTAGATTCACACCCACTTCATTATTGTCAACGTCGCAGACTAACACAAAAATGTCACTTACTGATCAGCTGTTCACCTCGGTAGACGTCAAAGCGTGATGGATACTCGTGAAATAGGTTATAGTAAAGAAGTTAACTGCTGCCTGAGCCGAAATTGTTTAGTCAATGTATTGTTTGCACATAAAAAAGTGACTGTTTACGAACTTCACAATATTTTCATTTCTGTTGCTTTAGTCTAATTTGGTTAAATTAAGACACCTGTCAAATATAAAATATTTTTATTTCCATAGTACAATCATTAAGACTAGATTTTAATTCAATTTACTTTTAGGGGAATGTATGTTGTTGAATTACTGCATACATTTTACATCAACAGAAAGTAATGACAAATCCCTATAATATAACATACACCTGGCATTATTTTACTGCCTGTATTGAAAATAAAAATTTGTAACTTGCCCATTTTTTCTTTACTCTAAATCCTGTTTTTATAAGAAATAAACATAAGTTGCATATTAGAATGAGGGCTTGCAATGGAAAATCTGTTATCTTACAAACATGCTAGTTCATAAAAGTCAAAAATAACTTGGACCTCACTGACTATTGACAATTTTATTCCATGGTATAGTTCTTAGTTTATTTGAAATTGGTTCTCAACATACTGGCAAACACTGAAATTACATGAATACTAACAGCAATGATGGCTTTGAGATACTTGGTTATTGTTAATAATCATTTAACTAGCATCATTTATTATATGTCCTCTATTTATCGATTTCAAACTATCAAGGTCTGTATTGTAAGACCTATTATATTATATCATACAAATTGTGGATATACCCCAATATTTACAAATACTATTGCACACATTGGCCAAATATTAAAAACATAGAACATATGATTTAATTTTGTGCTACCAAACATTTCTTGTGTTATATCACAATAACAATCTAAATTATCATGAAGCAGACATTTTCATAACAATAATACATTCATACATTTTATGTATTTGTGTTGACAAAATGACATCATGGTTTTATTCTTTTACGTTGAAAATAACTTAGTCTACTTAAAAGGTGTGGAAACTATACATAATATTTCATTGATTATACATAAATCAAAGATATCATATAACACAACTTTGGAATGTAAACATTTAAGAATACATATGTACATATAAAGCTACTTTAAAAAAGGTTTCCTTGAAACATCTACACTATCTAAATTGGTAACATGTCACCACACTGGCACTTTGTCCCTTTTAACGTAATTATATACCATTTTGTCGTTTAACTATATACTATTTAATTTTTGATTTGCTATTCTATGCATCTTTTAAATATAAATCGGTGTCTACCAGATAAAATCAACTAACAGAAACTGTGTTGAAATTTGATTACAGAAATTATTTTTTTGTTGAGCAACATATTTTTCTTAGATTATGACGCATGAAGTATCTGACGATCTCAAAAGCTTTTTAGGGTCTGAATTGCATTCTTTCTTCATAACGTTTTGTACTGCAACTGAAATGATATACTTTATTGAACATCACTCTTGTAATTCAACAAGGTATACATATAGTGAAATTTACATGCAAATGTCAGTATTTATTGCGCAAGTAAGCAATATAAACTAAATGTGATGCTGTTTATTACATGTGTATTCACCAATAAAAGCTTTGACAATTTGTTGAATTTTTGAGTTGGATGGAGTTAGAGGAACCTTTTTTTATCTAGCCAACTAGAAATACGGATTCCTATCAGTTCATAAATGGGGTCAAAACTGGCATACTTATTAGCCTATCGTATAAGGTAGATTATCGGTAAAATCAGTCTCAGACAAATTTTTGTATAGGTTTATATAGACACAGCTTCGAGAGCCGAGGAATTCTGAAATTACTCAATACATGACATGAATATTATCATTTATTAATGGTGGCTGAAGATAGCCAGCCATATACTGTATCTGCTTTGAAAAGAAATCTCATAGGTGGCATAAGGATTGAAAATCTTAGCGGCATCTATGACAGAGTAGTAGAATCAGTCACTCTTCTCAAACTAGATTTCTAAATTCATTTTTGTGTTCTGCTACTCTTTGGGCTATTTACAGGTAAAATACGTTAAACACTGATATTCTTCAATAGTAAACAAAAATAAGCATAATCATAAATTCTGTTTTCAAAGTCTGGAGGTTGTCTTAAAATGGCAGCCATGGGTTATGGGACATTTACAAGAATTCTGTATGGAATAAAATTGTTGCCAATATTAGAAAACTAAATAAATAGTTTTTCTTAATTTAGCTCTCAAATTAGTATCACCCGATGAGATCAACAGTTTACGTACTACCATACCTGTAAATGTCTTGTTCGATTTCTATCGTTACACCAGCTGTACAAATATCATGATAGCTATACTCGGGTAGCAAAACGGAAGAGAGTAGCATAATACGGATTCCGCCGTAATCAAAGTGGCGTGCAATGTGCTTTGCCGCTCTCGTCTGTTTCAATAGCAGACCATAGTAACGACACAAACTTTTTATATGCTTTACATTCAACTTATCAATTATTAAATACATTTGACTACTTACTCTCTTCTAAATATGACATCGGATTTTCAATCCACGATTTAAATACATAATAGTTTATAAAGGTTAAATACCTCATCCATTGAGGTCCCCTATTCAATATGTACCAGCGAGATAAAGATCTTAGACATGGTGTCTAGTACGTTGACATACGTGAACCCCTCTCTATCTCTCCCTTTAAATCCTTGACATCAGTGATTCTCCACCTATCTTGTATAGTAGAAATTTTAAAAAAAATAACTTCGAGTCTTTTTGTAAAGCCAAACCCCAATTTTTCTTTTCCTTTTTCCTATCAAGTCGGGCCAGTTATAAAACCAGATCTTGTACAAATTACATTTTACACAAGTGAAAGAATCAAATAGTCCCCATACCATTAGAAAGATTCTGGTTTACTGGTCTAAAAGGCTTTACACATTCGCATACGATTGCCTCGCTGAGGTACTGCTTGATTTTCGGCGGCAGAAACAACTTCTGCAGATCTTGTTCCTTCTTGACCTTTTTCACAATGACAGCTCTGCACCTGTCTTGCAGGTTGACGAAGTCCCTTTTTGTTGAGTCTAGGAACATCTCAGTCTTTGCGGCCGTAGAGCAGATGATGGGGTAGAGTGGTTCTTTGATTTCGTTGAGTCCTCTGAAGGCTATGCCGAGGCATTTGCCGTCTTTGTAGTATGTGAGCGTCCCTGCTATACCATCGAAGAGTACTCCTAAGAAAAGGGAAAATGGTCATCAAGTAGGTTGTCTGTGTACTTCCCATGAAGTTGTCATCAATTAGATTATATTGAGCATATTTACAGCCATATGGTGTATGATGTAAATGCTGGGCAACCTATAATTGTAGATTTAACAAGTGACTTCTCAGTTTTACTTTAAATTTTGTCAAAGTTTTCTGGTCTTTTATCTTTGAGTATAATTTATTATATTCAATCAACCCTTGATGGAATACAGATTTGTAGCATATGTTATACTTTTTGGTCATTAAATGGAAGTCATCTCTATTTCTGGTATTATGTAAATGATGGTCGATATTTGATGATGTTAAATTAGTTAGACTTGATGGAAATGTATTATTTTTTACTTTATAAATGAATATCATTACAAGATATTTGATAACATTTTTGACATTGAGTCATTTTAATTTGCTAAGCATTTGCCTAATTGGAGTATATTTATCTTTATTTAGTATTATTCTCATGCACTAATTTTGTAAAATTTGCAGTCTTTCAAAAATAGAATTATTTGCTAAATATAGAATAGTCGAACAGTACAAGAAATTTGGAAGAATGATGGTATTATAGATAATTTTTCTGCTATATGAACTCAGACATCCAGAAACTCTCGATAAATATCCCACTTTACTACTAATCTTATTTATAACTTCTTCATAATGAATATCAAAAATTAATCGAGAGTCAACAAAAACCCCCAGGTATTTAAAATTTTCTACGAATTCAATATCTTCACCATCAATATTATATAATATGCCTAGATTTCAACACTTACTTGATCTAATAAGAACATGTTTTAGAAAACTAGCTCCAAGAACATTTGTTTTTCTCGAAAACTATACGAGATGGCCTGCTTTTATAAGAGACAAACAATGAAGTGAATCAAAGTATCTTTCAATTAATTAAAATTCAGAGTCTTCGGGAAAGTTGCCAAAAAGTTCTGCTATAATTTATGGAGTGCTGGGGGTAGTTTTCACCCCCATTAGAGTTTTTCGTGAAAGTCAAATATTATAACGCCAAACAAAATACATATGTTTCAAATTTTATTCAAATTGCACTATCTATTCTTAAAATATCTGAACAAATCTGTTTTAAAAAGAAAAATTTGACGCCTCTAGCGGGCAAACGAAGCACTTTTGCATGGAGGTAAATCATGTCCAATCGACTTATTTTGAGTCTAAAAATACGTGGCACTTCAATGTCCACGGAATATTGGGACATCCTGTATAGTTATCCTTTCCAGTTTATAATAAAGCAAAAGCAATATCTCAAATATTCCTAGCGCCGCCGTAATCTACCGATGCCCTCCAAGTCCACATACCTTAGGTCATCGCTCAAGTTCACCCAAATCTATGGGATAAACGTATTGAAAATATAATATAATGAGTCTTCAAATAAAAGAGATTTCCATTAGGACATAATGCATTACGTGTTTACTTATACCTTTTGAACACTCCTTATTACGTAAAATCAGATTTTGTTGGTCATTAATTGAACAAAAATGTTTAAAAATTTTCTGACTAAAAAAAAACATGAATTAAGAAAAACTAAAGAATTTAGAGTTACTTGATAATTTAAACCAAATATTGTAATACAAAATATTTCAAGTTAGCCATTGTAATCACAGGTCATATAAGAGTATTCGCTAGGTGCTCGATTATAGTGCCGCCTAGGCATAGGAGATTAAACTCATGGAGTGAGGGTCAAGTTAAAAATTACGAAGAAGTGAGCTGGTACACTAGTATGTACACTGCGCAGAAGATGAATTTCGGGTTCCTGTGGCAACTCCGTCTCTCTCTCTCTCTCTCTCTCTCTGATGCCGACATCATGACTGTAAACAACTCCAATTTTGACAATTTGGACGAGTTTTAACTAGAAGTATTATTAATATTATAAAACCACCAAGTACTAAACCTACAAAGCATGGCATAACGTGCGTAAAATGCACATAAAGATTGCGGCAGGTTATGTTTCACCCTTTTATGACGATTTTCTCACAAATAAAGGCCTGTTATTATTATAATTAGATAACGTGAAGTAAACTGCATATTTTAATCGATTCAACAACAAATTCAGTCTATAAAGTTACTTTTAGACCAACAAAAGGAAAAACGACTCCCATTTCACCCTTCAGACCACGCCTATATTCCATTATCTCTCCGATGACCTTTCTTTTGTCCACCACATGCGCGGCGATAGATTCAGTTATTCCCACCTCGCACTTCGCTCCCGGCGAATAAGCAGAATTTTAATAAATATTTTAGATTTACCTATTTTGGTCGCAACATTTTCTCGAAAAGGCTTCGTATATTGAGTCCATCTGCCTCCATGCCACAAAAGACCTTTGTGAGACAAGCCCCAACCTTGATCATCTTTACCTAGCAGGTTTGTAAAGGAGTCCGCATGCAGTCTTGCTTTCTTTGTACCTGAAACCATAAATAGTCAGTGTCGTGGCGCTCACAGGATTTTCTCTCATTTTGAAGAGCAGGGGAAGCAAATCCCAAAAATCCCAAAAATTGTACATAAAATCATGCTAAATATGCAAATTTTGAGGACCAACCGTATTCTTAGGGGGAGGGGTAACGGCCCAAAAAGCACCCCCTGCGAGCGCCCATGATCAAAGGGGACCCGAAACAATAAGGTGCCCCCTATTGGTGATAGTTGAAGAGGGTCTTCATGTTTTTTAAGAGCATAAATTTTGTCTGGTATGAGTACACCATCTAAGAACCGCCTCTGAATGACTGGCATTTGATAATTCGAGAACAGCTAGATGGATTATAATTATGAAGTCTGAAGTCATCGTCTTAGACAGTTTGCGAAGGGTCATCACCGCGAAATTGAATTTAAGCGTTATATACAAGATTTCGATAGCACACGATTATAATCCTGTTTTTAAGGCTATCAAAAATTATTTATTAATCAACAATGGGTCCAAAAGGGCTATATTTTTCACAAAAAAATTCTGACTTGAGCGCAGGTTCAGAATTTTGATCGATTCCGTTACCGATAATGACTGGACTATGACACATTTCATGAAAACCAACAAGCAACAAATTTCATTTAACTTCATGTAAGATGCAGAGTCAGCCTACTTGACACCGTTTGTAAGAAAGAATCTTAGTATTTCGTTTTGCAATGACCCATCTAATTGATATGTAGCTAATCCGTTAATTAGATATTGAAACAATATTTCCGAAGGAAGAATATCCACAATATGATTCATCTATATTTTTGCCATCATATTTATGTAACTGTAACTGCAGTAGGTACGAACACCTGATATCACAGAAATTAATAATTAAAAATAAACTAAATTGCCCTTGCTGATAAAAACTGGTCTGTAAGATTTCGCAGAACTGAGTTCGAGCGTTCGGCCAACTTCAAATCCTAGAAAAACGTCGTCTGGTATGCAATATATAGCAATTGTTTTCATTTTAACAGTCTTCGCCGGCTTTTTACACGGGCTCCTCGGGAGCATTATTTTCAGTGTTTTCAAAAGGAAATTCGGCCACACCCGGGAAAGTGTGTTCGTGGCATGTAGATTAAGTGTTTGTGAGTGTTTGTAGTGATCTGCACATTTAGATTTCGGGAAACTTCGGGGATACCGCGGACTTCTTACACAGGCTGTTCGGGAGTTCTAATTTCAGTGTTTTCAGAGGAAAAACTCTGTCGCATCTAGGAAAATGTGGTAGTGGCATGTGGAATAAGTGTTTGTAGTGATTTGCATCTTTGGATTACGGGAAGAATGAAGCAAAACTTGGGAGATACGGCGATGCAAAAATGGTGGAAAAATGGTAAGTGCTAATTTACTTTATTTTTACTTGTTTCTACAAGGTGTTCACTGTTTTTTGTTGAAATCTGGTTACAGCTTGTAGTTGCGCACAGAATCAGTTTATCTAGAAATAGTAAAATGAAATATCAAAAAGTCGTTATAAGGGATATATTATATAGGGTGAAAATGATCCCTTCATACTTATCAGGCCTCCGGTATATTTTGGGGCTTACTTTTCACTACTAGCATATACCGGGTGTTTAAAATTCGTCCAACACCATTGGGGTCATTTGTTTCGTATACCAGATTTATCCCACTATCATTTTTATTTTCTCCTGTCTTTATTTGAGATTGGATTTTAAATCAAATTGCATATTGTCATTGCCACTTTTTCTCCTCTACAAGATGGCGTAGTCAAATTTTCAATTGGAGGCTGTTCTTTGGAGTTCCACCATCAATTTTGTCTTTTCATATAGACTATATTGGAATTTTGTACATTTGAACTACTAAGAATGTACAGGGTGTTCCTTAATGATTTGCGAATATTTAAGGGTGTGAATCTACATGAAAAATTAATGTTAGTTTGCTTTATAAACTATGGTCCAAAAATGTTTCCTTACAAAAACTCAGGGTGTTGAGGTTTTTGGAAATAAATGGAAATTGATTAATATTTTCAGAACCTCTTCAGATATTCACTGATATTTAGTACGTAGTGGAAGTTAAAAAAGTTGCATATTTATCAATGCAAACATAATTTTTTGCTTTAACAGTGGCGTGCGTACGGGTATTGACTTCGATATTTATTAAGAAAAAAATGGTACGCCCATGTTTTTTTGCCAAATAAAAATTCTTTTTGAATTTCCCGTTCAATTTAAAACAATCTCTCTTTTATTGTTTTCCTTCGATGCGCCATTTTTGAGTAAAAAAATAAAAACCGTTCTATTATCTAACTTGCAAAATTATTATTAATTTAATTGGAAAAATTTAACACATTAGGAGTAATGAACAACAACAACTGACAACATAAACATAACATTAAAAACAATGAAAATGGCCCCTTCACTTAGTATGCATGCTTCCGCCCTTCTCATGGAATTGCGCACTCGTTAGGATAAACAGTTTGTAAATAAATACGAACCGCTACACTGAAATGCGCTGGTGCACCATCATGCATGTATTGTTTCTCATTACTAACGGGACATCATCAAGCAGCAAAGGCTACTGTTGTTGAAGAAAATTGAGATAAGTCTGTCCGTCTTCCCGGCAAGATGAATGGGCCAATAAAGTGGTTGCCAATAATTCCTGCCCATACGTTAACCGAAAATTGGTGTTGGAAATGGGTTTCGGTTACGGCATAGGGATTTTCTTCTGCCCAGAAATGATTATTGAGGAAATTCTGAATGGCATTTCGAGAAAAATTAGCTTCGTCCGTGAACAGAATCATTAATTCAAATTGAGGTTTTTGTGTAATTTTTTGAAGATCCCACTGACAAAAGATCACACGCCTTGGAAAATCAATGGGAAGTAATAATAATAATAATAATAATAATAATAAACGTCTTTATTTCCAAATGGACTGGTTATATAAAAAAATAGCCAAATACGGGCGAAGTTCAGCTGTAGCTGCTCTTCCACTTAACCCGCTATAAAAAAAAAGTCCGTACAAAAGGTGAGTGAGACTTACTTATTCTACACATTACAAATATTAAATGTATATGCATTGCCTACATTAATACATCTACTAAAATTAATCATAAACCATTATCAATATTCTCCTGAAACATGCTTACTACTGCTGGGATAAGAGATATTTTTTTAATTGAGTTTTGAAACTTGAGATGCTCAGAGTTTTATATTGTACCGGAAGGGTGTTATAAATGGAACAAATTTGGTAGCTGAACGATCGTTTAAATTGGGCTGTTCGGAATATCGGCGGTGTCAGCAACCCCCTGGATCTTATATTGATGTTATGCACATAATAATAATAATAATAATAATAATAATAAATGTCTTTATTAATCAGCATACATCAGTGAGGCGAAGTTTAGCCAAATGGCTACTCTTACACTTAACCTCACTGTGTACGAAAGAGTGACACAGTTAAACTCGATACACAAACAAACAATAGTAATAATAAGAAAAAGAAACAAATGCACACTTGAACTATTAATATAATAATAATAATAATAATAATAATAATAAAGTCTGTTACATCTGTTCGAAATGTAACTTAACTGTAAGTGGGGGTCTTATACATAATTATTTTATGATATAATGTTGCGGCATGCAAAAATCTTGTTTCCATGTTCAACCAATTCGCATCTTTCAACTTATGGGATATTCGGTCTCCTCTTCTGATGCCATATATTAATCTGAGACAAGAATTCTGCGCAACCTGAATTTTTTGTTTGTAAGTGGCAGTTAAGCATGGGCCATACAACATATCAGAAAAATTGAAGTGCGAGAGCACCAACGACTCACATAGATTTATTTTGACTTTAACGGGAAGGTTACGTCTTTTGCCGTACAATATTTTTAAAGAGGAATATGCCTTACGAATGAGCGAATTTACATGTTTTTCAAATCTTAAATTTACATCCAATGTTACACCCAAGTTCTTTGCTTCACTGACAGTTTCAAGTTGTTGTGCTTTGATGGTAAAGTTAATTGAGTTAGTAACAGCCTGGCGCGCATGCTTTGGCCCAAATACAATTACTTTAGATTTGCTAGAGTTAAGATGCAAACAATGTTCTTCGGCATTCTTTGTCAATAATGATAAATCTCTGTTGATGGTTGCACTCACAGTGTCAACATCACTGGGTAGAAAAGTATGATACAGCTGAGTATCATCAGCATAGCAGTGCATTTTGCAAGTATTTAAGCCTTTGCCCAGGTATGAAGTATAAATTGCAAAAAGGAGTGGACCCATAATAGAGCCTTGCGGCACGCCTGATTTTAAGGCCAATACGTCAGAATAACTTCCCTCCAAGAAAACCTTTTGCTTTCTGCTCTTTAGATACTTACTGAAAAAGTTGACACTATCCGAATCGAGGCCTATAAAATGCAATATATTCAGGAGTAAATTAAAATTGATCGTATCGAAAGCTCGACTAAAATCCAACATTATCAAAACTGTACACCTTCCCTGATCAGTGGCTCTGATAATGTCATCTGTTACATGTAGAAGTGCAGTTGCACAGCTAAGCTAAGATTGTAAAAACTAAATAATGAAAAAGATGTCACAGCGAACAGATTTGAATAACACAGACTTGTCAGATGTCAAAAGCCAGTGACATATTCCAGAGCAACTAGATATTAGATGGTAGAATAGATATATAATCTAAATCTCGCCTCCTGTAAGAATATTACAAATAAAAGACGTTAATTATTATTATTATATTTATTGCTAAATTGCATTCTTCAATTATTACATTAATTTTCTCGGACAATAGAACGGTCTTTATTTTTTAACTCAAAAATGGCGCATCGAACGAAAACAATTCACGAGAGACCATTTCTTTTAAATTGAACGGGGAATTCAAAAATAATTTTTATTTGACAGAAAACCATTGGCGTAGCATTTTTTTCTTAAAAAATATCAAAGTCAATACCCGTACGCACGCCACTGTTATGTTTGCATTGAAAAATATGCAACTTTATTAACTTCCACTACGTACTAAATATCAGTAAAATATCTGAAGCGGTTCTGAAAATATTAATTAATTTCCATTTTTTTCCTAAAACTTCAATACCCCGAGTTTTTGTAAGGAAACATTTTAGGACCATAGTTTATAGAGCAAACTAACATTAATTTTTCAAGTAGATTTACACCCTTAAATATTCGCATATCATTAAGGAACACCGTGTGTCGTCGCTTGAAAGCAGAAGTATTTCACAAAATGCAAATCTTACAGGAGAGCTATTTTTCGTGTTTGTGTTATGACTAACATTTCTGAGAAATTTTGGACATACAATGCTTTACCGGAGAAAAAGTATGACAAGTCCGTGAAAGTGGACTTTATTTTTTGCTGGCATTGGCGTTACAGTAGTTCTGTAAGTGTTCATCTGCTCTAATCGCAGTTCTGCAGCGAAATGACCCGCCTCATGTGGTTACGCCTAATATCGTTCAAGACCAGTGGTGGGGGAACGCTTGCGCAGGGACTTACAATACCTTTGCATGCAGTGTAGGTGACTATGACCTACAATTTGGTGTTAAAATCTTAAAAGTGAAGAATTTGGACATAAATAGTTCTGCATTCAGGCGACGGTATGTATTATATTCATAACTAAATGCAGAAACGCCCAATTGAGAATTTGTCTAAGCCTTCTACGCTTCTCATTAATTTTACGCACCTATCAGTACATAATTCGCACATTATAGATTTCCCCTTACGTTTGCCCTTAAAGAAGATATCTATAGACGCGTCACGCGGTTGCGGTTATCAAATGGTTGGGGACTATGGAATATGGGCTAATTGCATGGGTCTGTTTGGCAGACTTAATCCACTTAATTTTTTATTATACATGTTTGTAGCTAGTTCAGAGGGACTTATGCCGAACATAATTGTTTATGAACCGATGAAAACGTTGCGAGGAAAGTGCAGGGTCAACCTACTTGACGCCATTTTTTACTTCTGAATTGAAAATAGGAGTAAATTTGACGTTCGAGTATGACCATTATCAATATCTGTACTACTTCCTTGCTCTAGCAAAAATGTTCGACAGCACTGAGGTGAGCTTTGTGAGGATCACTCAAAGGTGACCTTGACAGTGATCATGATATTCAAGCTCAAGCCGTAATTTCCAAATGAAGTATTTCATTCTTACACCGGCAGAGGTATTACGTAACTTGGAAGGTGACATGTCGGTTTTTTTGACATGATGTGGAATGGAAAGAGCAGAAACATGTATTTCCGAATGTGACCTTGATCTGAAAGTCGAGGTCGTGTCAAGCTTAAACGTTACTTCAGGTCAAGGTCACATTTAGAATTAAAATTTCCTGCTTTTTCCATTTTCGGTACAAGAATGAGACGTTCTTTGGAAATTTTGACTTGACCTTGAATTTCAAGGTGATCTCTGGGTGATCCCTACAACCCTCGTAATTGTGCTGTCGAACATTTTTGCTAGAGCAAATTGTTTTCTATGTTCTGATTTGACCTTGAAATGGTCTCAAAATTAATGTCAAGGTAGTATCCGGGCGTTAAATTTCCTCATTCCAATTCCGATGTGGAAAGGTGAGGTTCCATTTGAAAATATCACCTTGACCTTAATATTACAATGAAGATCGTAGTAAACGTCATTGTCAAGGTCAGAATCAGTTTGCCCGCTCGAAACCCTACAACTTTTGTTTGAAACTTTTTTCTGAGATACCGTTTTCAAAATATTTAGGTGGGGAGATCAAAATGGTACACCCTGTATATAGCACGTTATAAAAGCATATGGATAGGTACGCAATGGGTTAGGCGAATAAACAGTTTTTCTTACCGATGCCAAACATCATACTGGTCCCGAAAATTCTTCTTGATAGATGCAGTTCCCAAAAGTATCTGCCGTTGTTGAGAATTCTGGTACCACGCACTCCAGCCGTGCCACTACTCCAGTTTGGATGGAAAAGTGCGATTCTAAAATGTGGACCGTGGAGACGCACCTGTAACATGAATACCTTATTACTTATTAGGTTCTTAGGTTTACTTCGGCATATCAAACTATACAGGGTGTTTCAGTTAATTGTTGCATAACTTTAAGATTCGATAGAACTTTTAAAATTAATGCATAAAGTCTATATAAACATGGGTCGAAAAATGCGCGGCTTCCGAAATACAGGGTGTTTAAATTTACTTTCTAAAATGTTTTTTTTTAAATATTTCGAACAATATTTGATGTATAACAGTGAAAATTGCTATACAAGGGTTTTTTGGTACGACAAAACGAACCATGGGCATAGTTTTACTGTAGCCGCTAGAGGGCGCTCTCTACTGTACCTGTAGTGTATTAAAATGACCTAAAATTTTTTCTTAGTGCAATTTTTTGCTTTTTGAATAAAAAAACTGATTCGTCGCACTTTTCAACATAAAAAAGCTCTCTTGTGAATTTTCGTTATAGTTAGCCGTTTTTGAGATATTTCGATTTTTAAGGTTCGATGCATTTTTAATTATTTATGATAAAATAACGTTAAAAAGTCAGTATCTCGATAATTTTTAGAAATAGGTTGTGCCTGCAAATATTTTTGAAATTGAAAGCAGAATAAGGTTAAACGTCAATTAGTTGACAGTTTTGTTGTCTGTTGAAACCTGAAACGTTTTTTTGCAATTGTGAATGCACGAAATTTAGTTTCTTTTACCTGTTTTTTTTGTAAGTTTTATAAAAATGCCATTTTTATTCTTCAATCAAGAGTTAGCGGATATTCATTTTGTGTATGGCTTTGTAAATGGAAACGCAGCAGAAGCAGCCAGAGAATACGCACGAAGATTTCCAAACAGACGACATCCAACTCGCTCAGTATTTGTTAGAGTGCATCGCCAAATAATTGAAAATGGTTTTGGAAATATCCAAAGGGATCAAAACATAAATGTTCGTCAGCGCAGATTTACCCGTATGATTCTGCGTGAGTTTGATAGAGATCCGACCACAAGTGTTAGGAGAGTTTCTGGTGCCTTGGGAATTTCAGCAAGCCATGTTCACCGTGTTCTTAGAAATGACCATAGACGTCCTTACCATTTGCAACCTGTGCAAGGACTACAGCCAGGGGACGGAGAACGAAGAATCACATTTTGTCAGTGGATTCTTGATAGCACCGATAACAATAGGGAGTTTTTAAGTAACGTTTTATGGACCGATGAGTCATGCTTCACTAGACGTGGAGTAGTAAATTTTCATAATCAACATATCTGGTCGCATGAAAATCCGCATGCAGTTCGGGAAAGAAATTTTCAGCATGAATTTAGTGTGAACGTGTGGATTGGTATCTACCGTAATCGACTATTTGGACCCTACCTTTTGCCTGCAAGGTTAAATGCTGCGACCTTTTTGGAATTTTTAAAGGCTGAACATGCAAATATGTGGGATGATGTTATGTTAGATTTAAGAAGATTGGCCTGGTTCCAGCTTGATGGTTGTCCAGCTCATTATTTGAGAATAGTTAGAAACTGGCTGGACGAAAATTATCCAGAAAGATGGATCGGCTGTGGAGGACCAGCCGCCTGGCCTCCACGATCCCCTGACCTAAATCCATTAGATTTCTTTGTGTGGGGATTTTTAAAAGGAAAAGTGTACCAGACTCCCGTAACCACAAGAGATATGCTAATAGACAGAATCAGAAATGCATGTGATGAAATAAGGCCTAATTTGAATAATGCTATACCACGTTCGATCATTCGTAGATGTGAATTGTGTATTGAACAATTGGGTTTACATTTCGAGCAACTACTTTAGACTTTGTATGTTTGCCCTAATTATCCAATAGCATTTTAGTTGTAAATAATTAATTTAATTTGTTAAAAATAATATTGGAAAATTAAACAAATTAATATTCTGTTTTTTTGTGTTTTTAAACACAGCAATAATTCCTAACTCCATATTTCCATGGCAAGTGACTTATTATGCCTAACAGGTACATAGTATCACTGAAATCAGCAGCTACTCAAGAATACTCGTAGAAGGTCTTTTACTGACACCAAATCTGCAACAATTTACAAACATTTACTGCATAAAGTTTCTAATCTACAATTTTTATCCCTTCCAAACGAGGTCTGAAAATGAGCAAAAATCTCTGAAACGTTGTAACATTATGTCGCAGCGATTTTATTTCCGCCGAATCTCAACCAATTTTCAAAATCCACGACTAGCTAAACGATGGAAGTATTAAACTCGCAATAATATTCGAACTTTCGTTCACAAGTTTTCTGGTGCTTATAGATATAATAATAATAATAATAATAATAATAATAAATGTCTTTATTGAAACCTTCGAATTGAGGCGAAGTTTAGCCACATGGCTACTCTACCACTTAACCTCAAAAACGAAGTGTAAAAAAAATAATAATAATAAGGACAATAGTACAGTACAGAAAAATAAAAAGAAAACAATGAACAATTACAGAATGTATAAAGCATGGAAAATTTACAAAAGCTACAAAATCAGTCGGCTAATCATCAGGGATTTTTAAAAAGGCAATTCCAAAAGAGCAGATTTGTATTTAATTTTAAAAACAGGTAAGCTTTTGGACTTGAGTACCTGGTTGACAGAGTTGTAAGTCCTGATAGCATTGTACGTAAAACATCTTCGGAATATACATGTTCTGTGGAATGGCATACCGAAGAGATGGTTATGTCGTAGGGCTCTAGAAATGACTTGACCACGAGGTACAAGTTTGTCCATAAGATAAATGGGTGACCTTGTGGAAATCAATTTATGGACAAATACACCCAAAGAGAAAGTATAGTGTTTATTAAGTTTTAGCCATTTTAGCTCTTTTATCTTAGACGATACGTGATCATACCTTCTGAGACCATATACGAACCGACAACAACTGTTTTGGATTTTCTGCAGTCTATATTTAGTGTTATAATCAATACAAGGATAATAAAGAACCAGCGAATAAAATATTTTAGACATAACAAGACTGTCAACAAGTTTTTTCCGCGTTTTGAAATTAAGAATGTGCCGGTTTGAATATAATAATTTTAACGATATATATGTGGATTTAAGGGTGGCATTCACGTGCTGATTAAAACGGAGGTCTTTATCCAAAATAACGCCCAGGTTTTTTGCTTCGTTAACTAAGGGTATGACAGTATGATTCACAGACAGTTGGATTAGATCAACAACATTAACTGGAAAATTATGTGGACTAAAGACAATAGCATTCGATTTACTAGGGTTTATTTTCAGTGAGTGCTGTTTGCAGAAATTATCAATATTAGCTAAGTCGACATTAAGTTTATAAGAAATTTCATTGAAGTTGCTAGAGTCAAAATTAAATGTTAACTGTGTATCGTCTGCATAAGTTTGGATTGCGCAATGCTCAACACTGTTATGCAAGTCAAACGTGAAAACCAAATAAAGTAGAGGTCCCAAGATCGAGCCCTGTGGAACTCCAGAAGGAACATACTTGGGCACAGATACACCTTTACTGGTTTTCACCTTTTGCGTTCGATTAGACAAGTAAGAGTCAAAGAACATAAGAGCAGTATTACCTAAACCAAGGTACTTCAACTTACTCAAAAGTATACGGTGGTTCACAGAATCAAACGCTTTAGATAAATCAAGCATAACCAATATTGTACCAATGCGATCATCCAAATTTCTGATTATGTTATCAATTATATATAACAAAGCAGTTGTAGTACTATGATTCTTGCGGAATCCAGACTGATGTATCGGAAACATATGATTAAGTTCAAGGTACTCAATAAGCTGTAGATAGACGATCTTTTCTAATATCTTAGAAAGAAAACATAAAATGCTGATCGGTCTAAGATCATGGTATTCAGCTGGGTTTGTGACTTTAGCAATAGGTGTGATGACAGCTTCTTTCCAGCTTGTTGGGAAAAAGCCCTTCTCTAAACACATATTTACTATGTGAGTTATGTGGTCAAGTGTTTCTGGCAAACAAAGTCGTATCATTATTGAATTCAATCCATCACTCCCAGTGGCAGTCGATTTAATCGATAAAATGATATCAAGAACGATTTCTTGTGTTACTGTATGAAGAGTGAAAGGAGTCAAATTATTATCAAAACGGTTGTTGGAGTAAAAATTGGCTGTAGTATTAAGTACATTATTGGAGTGATCGTCGAATGTAAAATTTGAGAGGAAATGATTATTAGTTTCCTCTGGATCAGATAAACTATCAGGAATCTCAATTCGTTTCTGCTGACAGATATTCATACTTCTGAAATTTTTCCACAGCTTTCCCGAGTTCGAAATATCCAGCTGGGTTAAATATGCCTTCTTTTCTCTGCGAATCGAGGCCAGTGCAAAATTTCTACGGTCCTTATACGTCCGCCAATTTTGATCTGTTTTATTTTCCTGATATGCCCGAAACGCATTGTCTCGCAAACGAAGTATACGCGTTAGATTTGATGTCAACCAAGGAGCAGCAGCTTTGGTAATGCGTGCAGACCTGATTGGGGCAACTTCATTATATAAGTGAATCAAACGCTCAGTGAAAATTGAAACTTTCGTATCAATGTCTTGTACATAGAAAACATCATCCAAATGCAAAGTTGTTAATCGTTCTTTAAGCAGCTCAATATTCACATTTTTTAGATCTCTATATGTCAAAAACTTTGCTTCTGGTCTAGGAATAGTCACGAGAAGTTCACAATATACCAACCTATGATCTGAAATGATATCAGCATTTAGCGTTCCAGATTTGTTTAACATTACCCCAGCATTGATGAATATAGGATCTATCAATGTAGAACTGAACTGCGTAATTCTAGTTGGCTCATTGATAACTTGAGTAAAGTTATAGGAATCAAAACAATTACTAAGAATATTGTTATGATTAAGTAAATCAACATTCATGTCGCCAAGAAACACTATATTTTCATACTGTGGAGTGAAAAATGAGAGTATGTTGTCAAGAACTTGGATGAATTGATTCATGGAGCAATGAGGCGGACGATATACAACAATGACTA